ACCTGATGCCCTATTCGTACTTAAGTGGCATGGTTTTCCCAATTCTCATACTTTAGTGGTACCTGCGGTATTTTTTCCCAATTCTCAGACAAATCTACTCATAAATCATTGGAAATTTTGGTTTTCAATGTACATGATCACAAACGGCAGCGAAGTCAACCAACATAAACTTATGACGAGTTATTTTTTCTAAAAATAATGTCATCACGTTCATACTTATTCGATGATGATCGACAATGGATATCATTCTTTTTTTCTCACCACCAAGTCTATATAGATTTTCCTCATTGTTCGTGACGATGGACATAGCTTGTTGGTTATAGTGGTTAAACAACATATCTTACTTTAAATTTGAGAAGGTGGTGGAGGGATCGAGTTTCGATGGCTTTCTCATTCCATTATTTTCTTGTATCCTATCAAAGATTTACATTATGATACAAATCTATTTATAAACTATTGGAAATGCTAGTTTTTTATTCATATAAATATAGTCAGTGACAGACAATGGAATTGACCAACATAAATTTGTAGCAAGCTAGTCCTCACCCATGATTATTGATAATGAAAATTATTTTTCTTTCTTGCCACCAAATTGTCATATTGTTTTAGGGGTGGGCATTGGGTGGGTCGGGTGGATTTTGACCATAAAATGTACCCATCCACGCTTAAACGGATTGATAATTTTTAACCCACCACCCACTCACATTTAGTCTCGGGTTGGGTCGGGCGGATGGTGGATGATGCGGGTAGGTTTGTGGGTTCACCCACATCACAATGTATATAATATAAAGGAGTCAACTTGACATGATAATAGGCGAAGAGAATCATCGAGGAAAACAAGAAGTTGAAATAGGACGAAAAATGTTGAATTAGTTCTTAAATTGGATAGAAATTCTATTATGAAAGAGTTTTCTACAGATTGAGGCGATTATTAGGTGTAAGGAACTAAGGAAAATAATTCCACAAAGGAAAGAGCGGTGATCTAGGCACAAGAATTAGAGAAAAAAGTAAAGGGAAGAAGAGGGGATCTCTATTTGGAAGGTTGGCTTTGAGGTTCAAACTCCAGGAGTAGTCCGAATTTATATCTAACGTCTCCACTCTCCTCTCTCTAGCGCCAACGACTTTGATCTTTTTGCTGTTGGGTTGAGCGGGTCACCCGCACACTCACCCACAACCCACCCACCACCCGGCGGATGGCTCCCAGCGCAACCCGTCACCCACCCACAGACCCATTCACTTAACAAAATTCGGGTCAAATGCGGGTGGGTCGGCCCAAACCCGCGGATGATCCGCCCGCATGTCCAGCCCTATGTTTTTCTCCGGATACTTGTGATGTTGCAAATAACTTGTCGATTAGATCATCTAGACAACATATCACACCTTAGATTTGTATGCTTTAATCGTGAAGTATGATTGTTGTATCAATCATAACAACTTTTATACACTCATATTGCCGAATTTATAACTCTCAGTATCATCAAAAAGATTTTAGTAGGATAGTTCTCTGCAGTATATTTCTCAAATCAACATGGTTTCTTTTGACCTCTTCTCTAAGTTTTACTTCATATACTGTTTTCCCTCCCCTCTATACCCTAGTAACTCTTTTCTTTCACCCTTCTTACTTTAGCTTTTGATTTCACCATCACAACCGAATGTCGCCATGAATTCACCATCCACAGTTAAAAAAGTGCTTTCCTTTTCTCCCATCAGAAAGAGACGGTTGATCCAACTGACAAAGACAAAACCCTAAACAGCAGCAGCTGCAGGCTGCAGCAGCAGAAGGGCAATTATTAACCCGTGTCCCGGTCCCAAAATCCTCATCCAAATGGCAAATCAAACATTTTCATGTTACCATCTCAACAAAAGGGCATCAAGAGATGGATTTTGCCTTTAGTTATTTTTTCAAGCTTTTGGTGGTTTAACAAACTGCAACCACCAACTCAAGAACATTTGGGAACTGCCCCTTTCCTTTTCCTTCTTGATTTGCTTTTGAGAGGGGAAGGAGACAAACAAATAAATGGTAGAGTTGGTTGCTTAGCTGTTGGTGTTTGGGACAGTGTCATGTTTAATTGTTGGGGAGATGGGATGGATATGCTTGGAATTGTAGCTATCAAATCTGTCTACTATGTTGTTTTTGTAGTGTTTGATGCTCTTATTGATGTTCGAATTCGGGGCTTCTGTTGGTGTTACTTGGGAATCATCTAGAGACGAACCAATAATAATTTTAACTGTGATTATGTTTTGGGTACCGTTAACCGGGAATGCGATTACAGTTTCACGATTAAATCGCCAACCGTACAAAAAATGTATGATTTGCAGTACAACAAATATAAAAAAAAAGAATTTTTTGCAGCTGCAATTAACGTATAAGCTATTTTACGATTAGCAGTTGAACTGCAACCACAACCGAATAAGTAACCAATATCAAGTTTGTCATTGTCAAAGCTGATAGGTATATATGCCCACAAGCAATTATAGTGACAATGACCATACTCAATGCAACTCCCACAACCTTAAATTCACTCTCTCCCTACCCCAAGTAATTGGGTAGTAGACTTTAACAATTTTATGCCCCAATGTATGGTATAATCTTTAGTTCCACCATTTTGTGGATCCACGAACAAAATAGAGTCAGACTCGATGAGGTGTACTAGAATCGGATAAATTTAATTGGCGGGTTCGACTAAGATAATAACAAATCCATATTCAGAAACTACCATTAATATTCGGATTCGAAATTTTATCCAATCTCATTTTCTTTTAATTTGTATCTAATCTAACTAGATCATATTTGTACGACCAACTATCGAGTAAGCATTTGTGTGATGCCAACCATAAAGGCCAACAGCCCAACACCCACAACCATGTTCATGCTTAAAGTTAGTTTGTGTCACACATCTTTTATTGTTTTGAGAAATTTCATTGCTAAGGAAACTGCACCACTTTTGTGTTGGCTGCTATTGCATGGATGGTTAGGTGATTGTGGAATGTGGATTGCCAAAGAGTAAAGACAGACCCATGTCACTAATAAAGCTTTTTTCTTCTTTTGGCACCGAGCAGAATCAATGGCTTTATTAACGGCTTGATATAGCTTTTTGGATAACGTTTCCTTTACTACCTTGGATTAATTCCCTAAATACACATTAAACTAAACCAAATTCCTAAACTACCACACTTATAAAAAAAATTCCCAAAATACCTAAGTTTGGAGTGGTTCGAGTTTGAGGAACTCGAACTACTAACCGGTTCGAGTGTAGAAGACTCGATCTACACGTAAATCGATGATATAAGCCTCGAACCATGTGGGGCTGAAGTGGTTCGAGTTCAGTGAACTCGAACCACTACTTTGAAATTTCCAATCACCATAACTTTGTCCTCGGTTATCCGATCGTAGCAAAATTTTTTTTCATTTCGCATAACTTTTCGAGGACTACAACTTTTATAATAGAAATATTTTCAGAATATATGTGAAAATGTGAAAATTAAAGTTAAAGTTACTCGCAAAACCCCTTATATTAGAAACTATTCCTATTTTGAAAATTTATTCCTAGTAAATGTTGTAGTACTCAAAAAATTATGCAAAATAAAAAAAAACATTGCAACGTTTGGATTACGGAGCACAAAGTTATGATCCTCCAAAGTTTGACAAATTTGAAAATTTGCTCGTTTAATTTATGGGTAGCAAATGACGTTTTCTAAGATAGCCATCCAAAAATGTCTTGTTTGTAAAAATATTGCTCTTTTGGCAGAAATTTCCTATATATAAAATCGAAAAGTTTGGCAAAATCGAAAAATTGCTCGTTTAGGGGTAACAAATGACATTTTCTCGGGGCGAAGGCACGGGAAATTTTTTTATATATAGGAAATTTCTGCCAAAAGAGCAATATTTTTACAAACAAGACATTTTTGGATGGCTATCTTAGAAAACGTCATTTGCTACCCATAAATTAAACGAGCAAATTTTCAAATTTGTCAAACTTTGGAGGATCATAACTTTGTGCTCCGTAATCCAAACGTTGCAATGTTTTTTTTTATTTTGCATAATTTTTTGAGTACTACAACATTTACTAGGAATAAATTTTCAAAATAGGAATAGTTTCTAATATAAGGGGTTTTGCGAGTAACTTTAACTTTAATTTTCACATTTTCACATATATTCTGAAAATATTTCTATTATAAAAGTTGTAGTCCTCGAAAAGTTATGCGAAATGAAAAAAAAGTTTGCTACGATCGGATAACCGAGGACAAAGTTATGGTGATTGGAAATTTCAAAGTAGTGGTTCGAGTTCACTGAACTCGAACCACTTCAGCCCCACATGGTTCGAGGCTTATATCATCGATTTACGTGTAGATCGAGTCTTCTACACTCGAACCGGTTAGTAGTTCGAGTTCCTCAAACTCGAACCACTCCAAACTTAGGTATTTTGGGAATTTTTTTTATAAGTGTGGTAGTTTAGGAATTTGGTTTAGTTTAATGTGTATTTAGGGAATTAAATCTACTACCTTCCACTTTATTCTTAGGTTTCCCCTCCTGAACTGACAGAAGCTAAAAAGGACACGACCTAACTTGCTCATTAGCAGAAGAAAGCTTTTATCATCTGCTTCCAAGCTCTCAGAACCGTGCCCAAACTCGACAATGGCGGTTCGTGCACAAGGTAGAATGGATCGAGCGTAAAACTGTACTGCACCCGAGCCGAGGAAACCCTCTCCCTCGACAGGGTAGCCTGGCGCTCGATAACAAGGCTTCGATGTTGCAGGTGAACCTGATTCGGCCTACTGATAGTAGATTCGTGGCAAGGTGATCTAGTAATCACATTGATTTGACTGCCATGGAAGTTTACAAACATTCCACCACCTTAATCTGATTTTAGGAGATCTTATAGAGATGGATCAAAATGTCAACAGAAGTAGTTAGCATTTTTAAGGGACTAACAACGGCCCTTCTTTTGTAGGAGCATTTCCCAAAGTCCTATACTCAACATGACTCGAGTCAACCATTCGTGTGGTTCACTTACAAACTCATGGGACTAAAGTTTGCATTGATTTCAGCGGAGCATAATTCTCTTCATGAAAACTAGCCAGCAAAACCCTGAGTTCAGGGCACGAAATGGGAAATTATCAATACTGCAATAAAGAGAGAGAGAGACCCCTGTACCAAACTCAGATTCTTCCTTCCAGAACAAACAACAGAGAAAAACTACTAAAGGAAAAACAATTAAGAAGTTGAGGACAACCAAAATAAACACTTTCTAGTTACAAACCTGTCCATTATAAGGTGTTTCACCTCCTAAAAAGCCACCTACTAAGGAAACTCCATTAAAATTTTGCTAAGAGAAACAAACAAAAGATATAGAATTACACCAAACCCCCATTGAAAAGAAGAAAAAACAAAAGAAAAAGCACCCTGATATGAATATAAATAAGGTCAACTTAAATACAACCACCACCATCTTTATCACCATCAGCAGCAAGCAGCAACACTTAAACAAAGAACCCTAAAATCAGTCATCAACCCACTCCAAAGAGAGGGAGAGGCTTTGGATCCATCGAATCAGCGTACTGTATCTATGCTCTTACTCAGCTCGTCGAGCTTCTTCAACCTTAGTCTCTCGCTTTCGCTCACCAGCTGTTCAAACTCAAAGAGACGAACAAAGAATCCAGGCCGCGAGTTAGATGCATGAACAACAACAAATTCTTCATTTCAAATGAAACCAAGTAAAAGAAAGCATGAGTCTCACCTCCATTAGTTTGGTAATGAGCTGTACTTTCTCCTTGTTCTTGTCACTAAAAGCCTCAAGAGCATCCTTGTACTCTTTCTCCTGTGAACCCCCAAAAACAACAACCCACAAAGTTATCACACAACTGTTTCTTTGTCTGGATTTGGCATGTGATGATGAACAGCAAATGGAGACCACATGTATGTAGAAGACAAACTAAACAATAATCCATAAAAGGGGGTTCCATAAAAAAGAAGTTATCTGCTGTTTGTTATTATATATCTTACCTTCTTCTGGACTGATTGTCCTAGTGGCTTCAATTCCTTGTTCACTGAATCAATCTTCTTCCTCACAAGAGATACTTCTTTCCTCATGGGATCTGCCAAACCTTCCAGCTCCTGTAGCAACAAAACGATTCATAAGGCTTAGATTCAGGAAGGCAGAGGACAAAACAGAGCCCTTCCATGTCATTCTCACCCAAATCCAGAACGAATTAGGTGTGCCTCATCAATGTTATCACTAAGCCAACCCTCGAGTTAGAATTATCCACCATGTTTAATCTGTTCTTACTACAAGCTCCAATTTCAGATAAATGGTTTCTAGGGTTTGGGGAAAGGTTGAAAATTTCAGAAAATCAACCAAGATTTACTCAAGAATCTCGACATAAAACGGTCAAATTTTCTTCCTAGGGAAAGGAAAAAAACAAAATTCCAACTAATATTTATAAAAAAATATGCTGTTTTTTTTCTCTTTCCTTCTTCAATCTGACAAAACAAACGGTCATATGGTGGATTTCTTCCCCAATTCCCCCTAACCCTAAATAGAAACAGTAAAAACGAACTAAAACCCTGAAAGAATTCCACCCAGAAAACACAAAATCTAGAGCAAAACCCCCACAAAAGAAAAAAAAAGGGAGAAACGATTGATCTTCTTGGATTTTAGTTTTTACCTCACGAATCATGGCGAGGCGCTTGGTCTCTTCCTCGACGCGACCCAGCTGAGCCTGGACCCGCTCCCTCACTTCCATCTTCTTCCTCTCGATCTCTTCCTCCTTAGCCCTGAAATTGGACAGCGCCGACCTCGACATCTCCTCGTCTTCCTTCGACATCTGGCTGCTGAAGCTCAGGCTCCCCGAGTTCTGCTGCACCATGAGCTGATTCAGCGGCTGCTGCTGAGGCTGTGGCTGCGCGGTCTCCATTTTCTCACTGTTACTCTCCTGCCTGCTGTAGCTGCTATTCCCTCCGCAGCACCCTATCTTGAAAACCCTTTTCTCTCCTCCTCCTTCTTCAACTTGGGTGGGATTTGATTTCTCTCTTCTCCTCTCCTTTCAGCTGCTTTCTCACGCTCTGTTTTGCTTTCTTTCTCTCTCTCTTGCTTTTGCTTTGGGGTGGGTATTTGATGGATTTTTTGCTCTGTTTTTCTCTCTCTTTCTCTTTCTTTTGCTGGGTTGGGAGTGCCCTTATAAACAAGGCTGGCTGGGCCTTTGGAAAAAGTCCTTCAAAGTATCATGCCAGCTTAGCACGCTCTCTCTCTACCCTCTCTCTCTCTAACTTTTTTTTATCAAATTGAATTTGGAAAATGGGGGAAATAGAGAATGGGATGAGTAATTATTGCTTTGATGGAGAAAAAGAGTGGTTATTATAGTTATACAATACAAAATGGGAAGTGAAAGGAAAAAAATGAAATTCCCAAATGACAAAAAGAAAAGCCGTGTGAAATGACCCCTCTGGCCAAACTTGCTCTCATTGGGGTTTCCAAAAGATGGGTGTGGTGTGGATTTGATTGATCCCTACAATTTTTCATCTTGGTAGTTTTGGTACATAAGATTTTACAATTAGGTTGGTGTGGTCTATATATTTCTAGTTATGGATCGTCCCGATTAGGGTTGGTTGATGTGGTAAAAAGCTAATTAGTTTCACGTTATTAGTTCTTATTAAGAATCATTAGATCGCATCATAATGATTCGGCAACTCTGACAAGGATATTGAAGATCCATATTAAAGTTGTATATAAATTTAGTTTGGTTACTTAGGATTTTTTGGAGTTTTTTTTTTTACGTTTCTTGTATGTTGGAGATGTCATAGAGGGCATTTCATCCCTGAACAGGGAAAAATCAGTATAAACGAGACGATGATGCTAACTTAAGTCACATATAACATAAGGGGTCACGAAGTATGATTGTAGACTTGGATGTGTTGCAATGTAAAGAACCTTAAAGCAATTTGAGAACCAATTCACGATGAACTTAAATTTAGAACATAGAGTTGTCATGTGAGCACGTTATCATGTCACAATGATTCCACTTAGGATGATCAGTATATAGATAGTTAATGCATCAATGATAACAAATAACGAGCGTTGGTATGTATCATCGAGGACTAAACTTCAAGCTTTTGAATCGAATTCGTCAATATAAGAAAGTTTAAATACCGAATTGGTCTTCCTACCATCATTTGTTGAAGAGTATGTAAAACTCGGGAGTTTTCATCAAAATGATTATGATGTAGGATATAAAATGTTTGGACAGAGCCCACAAAAAATCATAAACCTCACTTTAAGAAATTCAAATGTTTCCCCTTTTCATGCTTTTATGATATGGGGTTTGAAGTTTTTGCACCTTAGGGAACCACCAGGATTAAAACCAATAAGTGATGGTTAAGTGATAAGGCAATCGACTCATAAGATGTGCTCTTCGGATGGTTTAGGTTGCGATTGTTTTTTTTAGATTGTTATCATACTTGTATATTTAGAATACATTATTTTTTATTTATGTACACAATATGTGAGTTATTTCTGTGATGTGATAAAAAGAAACACTCAAAATGAGTGATTTTTATACGAAATTGTTGAAGTAGTTGAGTTAATATCGTTGCATCTTAATTTTTAGCTGATGTGACGTACACAAATCACATATACTAAACACAGCATTTTACAATGTACCAAATTCATCAATATTTGTTTAATGTTATACATGTATTCACCACAATAGATCTATTTAGCAATCACAATTTCCCAACAACACTTCAATTATGTTTGGAGAAGATTTATAGATGGTAAAATAATTTATCTAAACAACATGTTACATAAAATTTTATGAAAGTTGAAATATCTAATGCACATATGCATCAAAATCTCTCATCATAAAACAAAATAAGAAAACACAAAGAATAAAGAAAGGATAATATTATACATTAATAAAATCAATTATCTAAAACTTTTTTTTTTTTTTGTAATTGACACCAATTTGTGTTCTAGTTATTGTTGGTTGGTTATGGGTTTTATTACTATATTCGACAAATGGAAGTTTTGTGTGGATGTAGTTGACCTGTCCAAGCTTACAGATATTTCTGTGTATATATTTTTGTCCTCTGGATTTTCTCTAATTCCCAAGTTCGATAATAAAAATGACAAATTGGCCATCCTCTAGTTGGTGGTAGACAAGCAACTCCAACCAACCAACTCCCCCACAAAAAATTAGTTGCTTCATCGACATGAGATGACTGACGCAAGCCACATAACAACAATACAAACCATCACAGTTTGCTCACAGTTTTCAGTTTTCACCCATGGTGATGGAGTAACTTTGTTGTGTTCCCTTCAGCATTATGTTTTGGAAAAAGAATGAAAATTATCTTCATCATCCACAATGGATATCGTATGCCGAATCGGTTACTTGGTTTGGCTACGAATAGTAATTACTCATGATCAAGAACCAATACCTTGATTGTTAAAAAATCAGATTGTCGAACGAAGAGAGGCTCTGGATATATAAGAAAATTTTATTTTCATTGACGACATCTAAGTTGCGAAGGGACAACCCGTGAAATAAAGAAACGGGTGCAAAGAAGAGGACACTCTTCAATGAGGTAGTAAAAAACTTATCTCATGTGACATAGATATCAAACTGAACTAGGCAATAAAAACGCTATTCACCATTCATTCAATCTGTCTTTGCATAGGAAACTCTTACATCGATTCTCCCTATACAACACTACTCAATCCGACAAATCTCTCACTACAAGAACGACTAACATACGCTGATAGCATTGATTCAAGGCGTTTCGGCATTCCAAATCTAAAACCATCACGGATCATTTCGTGTTGGATATCTCCATAAACATTTTGAAGAAAGGATATCACAATAACAAGAATCCATTAAGTAACCAAATAAAGGAATTGTCTGGTTAAATTTTTATGGGGTGCTTCTTTGCTTTCACAGACACCACATCCCATGTAAATGCAACTGACTAGGTTGGTTATAAAATCGCTTTCAAAACCGTGAATCACATATCACTCAAATCATGTACACTATTATATCCTGAAAGTGAGACCCAAACTTAACCTATAAGAATGGCAATGGAATCCAACTTTTGCCCTTTATCCTCTTCTTCTTCTTCTTCTTTTTAATTTTTGGCGTGTCAAACTACAACATGTTGGTAATGTTGTTTTCAAGGTTCATGTTCACGAAATAAACCTTGAGATGGAAACCGTTGCAAATCCATCAGTCACTTCTCTAGCCATATAAATCATATTAATTAGTATGAGCGTGACACCCTAAAATCAAGTTTGAAATCGTGGATTTGTTTCCTAACTTTACGAAAATGAAAGTTATTCTTATGACATGCACTGCGAATAACCTACTACGAAGACAAAGTTAAGAAAAAATACAAGTATGTTTTGCGATGAAAATTGGTATAGTTTATAGTTTTGTCTTATACATCGACGATATAAATGAGATGTGTGGACTCGATTACTCAGATATGTATTTGTCTCGTGGATGCCGATATATAACACTTTCATTCTCTTAGTTTAATTTATTTGTTTCCATTTTTTCAGGTAATTTGTTTCCAATTTCATTCTTACATTTGGGATGTCTAGCTTTGTGCGATATTGAAAAGGGGAAGTATAGAACGATTGAAAGGCAAAAGAACAAAATCTGACGGATGCTTTTGATCGATCAGTGCCAATGCCATGGCCAAGAACATGGAGTTGCAGGTTTATGAAGTTTTTTATTATTATTCTTTTCTGGAAGAATTTTATGGCCATGGCCGGCTGAAGGACGGCACAGAAGACATGTGGAGTTAATTGCCAAAACGGTCACTGAACTTTAGTGTCATTAACAAATCAACCATATAGCTTAACGAACATGTCATAGAAGTATGAAATAACTAACCCTTAAACCGCTCTCGATTCAGCTTGGATGGTTAGCCTCCATCGAAAATAGGACACAAACCCTATAATTAGCTTTGATGGTTAGCCTCAATCGAAACCCCACAGAAAAGACGATATGAGTTAAATTATTATGCCCTAAGTTAACCTAGTCTCGTGAGTCTGTGATTTGAACAAATTAGAGAGTAAATCCAATAGATGTCTACAAAGTGTCCATGCTAGAAGATTCATTTTCATGACCCGATCGTTAAATATCAAAATTGGATGGTGAGTTTGTCAGCGACTCAAAACTTTGGTGATTGTTTTTGCAATTGGGCATATATATGTTTGAAGGTAGTTGATATGAACGTTTGAGGCGTGAAGTGGAAAGGAAGTGTGACCCATTCCCCTTGGAGGAACCGTAAGAGCAAAGGCAACCCTCCATAAAGGAAACGAACATCAGCAAAAAAAGACATTGCATAGGAACAAAAAAAGGCGGCAAGTTTAACCTTTGGAGCTAAATATTCTTTAAGGGCGAATGCTAAATTTGGCCCTTCGATTTTTCTAGAAATCTCCTAAACCTTGTTCGATCGAGACCAAACCTTAAACTTTGAGAATTTCCCCACCTAAGTTTGTTGGTAAGCCTAACTCAAAAACAAATAATGTGGATTACCCCTATGTAAAGGCCTTGATCATAGGTAAGTTGGACTTCTTTTCTCGCAAAGTTAGCTGACATAATTAAGGGTCGGAGGTCCACATTTAGTAGCAAGTTCTATCGAACTCGACAAAAAGAATAGATCGATAAAATTTTATGTTTATCTTTGAAGGACATCAGGATATTAATAGATTTCATACACTACATTGTCCTTAATTGTCAGAATTTCAAAAAATCCCAAGTCACTAATCCAACTCACATACACTTTCAATGACCGACTATGTAGAAACAGGGTTAAAAAAATACATGTGTTTGATTATAGGATCAGGTACAATACATAATTATGTTAATGTACCGCCATTTAAATAAAATATTTCGATTCAACTACTCGGGTCGACCAATGAGGTCTCTCGAGCCTAACATTAGGATTAAATCTCATTATCTTCCATGGATACATTTCTTGATGATGTGGCATGTGTGCGTTCTTATCCTAAAATTCTCCATTCGCCCTTTGGACTCATATATTCTCTCTCTTCGCCCTTCAGATTGAAACTGGCAACAAATCTCTAGATTAGATGCAACTAGAAGTAAGTCGATTCCATTTAAAAATGGTTTCAACCCAAACTTTTATTGTGGAGTTAAAATCCGTTTCTTAAGAACTTCTTAGTGTTTATTTGGATGGACTCACTAGCTTACTCGCTGGGTTAGTGTATCCAAGGTAGCATCGGAAGCAAGCGTAGGGATTACTACGTAAGTGCGTTTG